ATACTGTAGATTCTTACAGTATTAGATGGGAAGAAGATAAAGAGCAAATTTTCTAGAAAGAACAGAGTAAAAGATGCTGGAGAACAAATAACAAAAGGGGAACTCAAAGCAACTACTTAAGACTTTTGTTAAATTAATAACTTAGAAAGAACATAAAAACGTGATTTGATGCTTTTGATCACTGTAGATAACATTCGAAAAATGTACTAGAATGGCATAAGTCAAATGCAGAAATCTCTTTTTCAATATACGTACAAAGGAAATAGAATACCTGGTTTCTACTCTCATCCTCAAATGTTGTGTGGCCTCAGGATAAAACTCAATAAATCTGTATTGATTTGTAAAATTAAGATAATTATTCTTACCAACCTCAAAGTAATTTTGTGAAGATAAATGATATCACTTGAAAGGGCTTCATGAACTATTAAGTATTTTGCAATTTGGGGGAATGTAGTTTATTTTTAAGGATGTAAGGAGATTCTTGATTGATAGAAGTTACTCTTTTCTAAATAATGCAGAGATAAGTTACGACCCAAACATCTAGCTGCCATCCAAATTACTTGGACAAAAATCTGTCAAATATTTTATGACCCTTATTGCTCAGAAAAGTTTTAGAATATGAGTAGTCTCTTTAGAGCCTGAATAAATGTCATTATGTAAAAGAAACTGAAAACAGAACAAAGTGGTATTAAGGGTATCTTAAAAATGTAAGCTAACCCCACTAATTCCATTTTTGAGAGGAAAAAAACACCTCTACCTCTCTATCTATCTACATGGCACCCCAAAAAGTTCCATATGTGGTTGAAGAACCCTTCTGTAAAAGGTGAGAAGAATCAAGTCTCCCTGTGCTGACCCCCATAATCTTAACTATAATGGGTGGTTGGATCCAGTTGATCTCCTATTCCTCTCTCTGGGGTCTTTAGGAAGACATCCAAACAATTTCTGAGAAGAAGTGCACATGAAAATTTGCTGTACACCATCTCCTTGGCTGTGAACTCAAGCATGTAGGTAAAATAAACTATAGAAAATATGCCCTCTGCTCCTGATTTAAATTTGAATGCCCCCTCACAAGTGAAATGGTAAAAATCCAGCCTGGTTACATTCAGAGCTGCTTCTTTTCTCATCTTGGTTCTGGGTCACCTTCTGTTGGAATTTCTTCCATACCTAGGCCATCAGCATGGTCCGAATAATCAGAATGATCACAGTCCTTCCATCAGAGCTTTAGTGCTGTCCTCCCTAATCTGGGAGTTGTAAGCCATCTCTCTCCACCTACACAGCATACAGATCATGGTTAATAAGAGCAAGCCCCAGGCCACTCAAGCTCCGTTCGCACCACAGACTCAGGACACCCTCATTTCCCTTTTCTCATGTCTTTGGAAGGTCTACATTGCTTCTGACTCAAGCTTTGCTTTCCATTTTTGGACCTAATTCTATCCATTGGGCTTGAAGATTCATCTTATTTTCTTCACATTATCCCTTGGTTCATCCGAAGATCTTTGGTTCGTAATTATCATCTGTTTTTTTGTTTTGTTTTGTTTTTTTCTGCCATCCCCCCTAAATCCCTGTAAACAAGTGAATAAATATTTCAAAACTAACACAATGATAATAACAACAACAGCAGTAGCAGTAAAAATACTAATAAACCTGAGTTTGACTTGGATCTCAATTTCAGTGGAGACCTTAACTGTTTCTGTCTGCCATGATCTTGATCTATTGTAACCCACTCTCCACCACCATGGTAGAGACCATCTTACTAAGAGAGAAGCTCAGAGCAGTGAAGCTCTAACTCGGTGAATACCTCTTAGAAAACTAGTCATTAATTTAGTCTCATTGTCAACAACAGCCCTTCCAGATAAACAGAAATGTAGACACTATCTGCAACAAATCCCCAGTCTTAAACTATATATATATATTTGAGACAGAGTTTCCCTCTTGTCACCCAGCTGGAGTGCAATGGCATGATCTCAGCTCACTGCAACTTCTGCCTCTGTAGTTCAAGCAATTCTCCTGAGCCTCCCGAGTAGCTGGGATTACAGACGCGAGCCATCATGCCCAGCTAATTTTTGTATTTTTAGTAGAGACAGGGTTTCACCAAGTTGGCCAGGCTGGTCTTGAACTGCTGACCTTAGGTGACCCATTCGCCTCGGCCTCCCAAAGTGCGGGGATTACAGGCATGAGCCACTGCACCCAGTCAATAATTTTTTTTAAGTGCAAACTTTAAATAGAGTCACTGTGTAATTATTACATAGTTCTTCTGGCACTGTTTGTATTAGCTAAGGTACAATGTAGAAGACAAAAGAGGATCACACTCTTTTGATCCATTTCCTGTAAAATACTGGCTATGGTTCTATAGTTGTCCTAAATTAAGAATTTTCTGTCTTCTCTTTCTGCTATGCTGAATGGCTTAGAATTATAAAGAAATCTTGAATTTTTTGAGAGGCTCTTAATTTTCTTCTTTTACACCATATGTCTCATCCAGGACTCTACACTCCTCACTTTATTCTCATACAAATTGTATGAGATAAATATGATAATTCCTATTTTAAGAGATGTTAAGTTGTTTATCCAAGGTCACATAGGTGGCAAAGGGAAAAGCAGAATTAAACCCTGGTCCTTCTAATATCAGGGTCTCTGTTTTTGTCATTATACCATTCCACTTTGGATGAGAAGAGACATTCTGCCTCGGTAAAAGGGTTTCCCATGAGAAAAGAAATGCACTATCAAGTCATGAAAAGTCCTGGTGGAATCTTAAATGCATATTACTAGGTGAAAGCAGCCAGCCAGAAAGGGCTACATGCTGTGTGAGTCCAATGACATGACATTCTGTAGAAGGCAAAATTATAAAGACAGCAAAAAGATCAGTGATTGCCAGGGGTTGGGGGAGGAAGTGATGATTAGAAGGAGCACAGGGGAATTTTAGGTCAGTGAAACTATTATGATACTCTAATGGTAGATTCATGTCATGCATTTATCAAAACCCATAAAATGTACACCACCAAGAATAAACATTAATGTAAACTATGGACTTTGGATGATGACAATGTGTCAGTGTAGGTTCACTGATTGTAATAAATGTACCATTCTAGTGTAGGGTATTGATAGTGGGGGATGTTGTGTTTGTGTCAGGGCAGGAAATATACAGGAATTATCTGTACTTTCTGCTCCATTTTTCTGTGAACCTAAAACTGCTCTAAAAAAATAAGGTCTTTTTGTAAGAGAAAACAAAGGATTTCTCCACTACACAGACATCATGGACTTTATGTTACTTTGCACCCTGCTTCAGTTTCTGTCTGTAGCACCCCAAATATTAGTAAGAGAATAACTAGACAAAGTAAGCCAATAGAAGGAGATGCTAGAAAAAAAGGAATGGGTGTCCTAGAGCATTCTGCTTATCTCTATTTGACTTTCTTTCTCCTTTCTCTTATTTTGTTGACCTTGTGTTCTTTTGTTTCTTTTATCCCCACTCTAAAACCTCTTTATTCACAAATGAAAAAGAAAAAACAAAAACTAAACTTTTTCACAGTACTTTTAGACTTGACTGTTCCAGTTACCATTGCTGCCAAAACTTAGTGGTATAAAGCAACCATTTATTACGCTCATAGGTTCTGTGGGTTAATAACTCAGACAGGCACAGAGGGGATGGCTTGCCTCTGTTGTCTGATGTCAGAAACCTGAGCTGGGAAGATACCAAGACTGAACTGACTCAACAGTGATTCTAGAAATGATTCTAGAATCATTTGAAGGAAACTTGTCCGACCCACAGCCCACAGACCATATGCAGCCCAGGACAGCTTTGAATGAGTCCTAAAACAAATCTGTAAACTTTCTTAAAACATTGTGACATTTTTTGGCATTTTTTTTAGCTCACCAGCTATCGTTAGTATTAGTGTATTTTGTGTGTGACCCAAGACAGTTCTTCTTCTTCCAATGTGGCCCAGGGAAGCCAAAAGACACCCCTGATTTAAAGGTATTTTATTTCCCACACCTGGGTTTGGATACTGGCTATCAGCTGATACGTTAGTTGTATTGTTACTGAAACACTTATCCATTGGTCCTTCATTGATCTCTCCATGCAGGCTAGCTTGGGCTTCCTTGTGGCATCATGGCTGTGTTCCAAGAGAGAACATCCCAAAAGAGCAAGAGAAAAGTGCATGATACTTTTATGATCTACCCTTAGAATCCCCATAGTGTCATTTATAGCATAGTCAAAGCTGCCAGAAAGGGCTACCCATGTTCAAGAGGAAGAGACATACTCAAACCATTGTATGGGAGGAATGTCAAAGTCATATTGTAAAAACACGTAACATAGGAGATACTCTTGCTGCCATTTTGGAAAATATAATCTGCCACAGTAACTCTTATTATATCTTATTGTATCTTACATCGCTAAGTATGTATTGAATCTGAATATTTGGTTAGACCGTTCCACATGTTTACCTCTGATTGTTTCAGATCGTAAACCACATTTGGCAGGGACAGCAATGTTGAGTTAATTTACATGACCTCCACCATAGTACCGTGTGCTTAATAACCATAACATGTAATATTATTACTAGTGCTGCGATTGCTGATAGATACATGCACTTGAGTGGTCATTGTTTGTATTTAGATGCTATAACATTTTGTAGCATGTCACAGAAAATCTACACTAACCAAAAAGGCATATAGCATCTCCATTGTGTAAATTAACTCTATTACTCCAATTAGGTCTTGGTTATTTGAAAATAGTACATCATTTTTTTTCTACCAAGTGAATAGATTCTTGTAAAGCAATAATTGAATCTTACAATGAGTGGTGGGGGAGGGAGGCAGCGGAATCACTACCTTGAAGGAACTATCATTTCTTCCATTTCTTTTTTCTTAGCAATTAGTTACTTTTAAAAGTTTAATAGATTATTACTAATAAAAGGTTTATTAGTAATCTGTGTGGGGCCTTGATCAGTCAAGGATGTTTATCTCTTCTGAAAAGCTAACTAATGAAGACAATTGTCCCTTTTCAGTTGATTTCATAGGTGGCTTTGACTCTTATGGCTATCAAGGGCCTCAGAAGACATCTCATTTACAACTACAGCCTATGTACATGTAAGTATTTTACTTAGAAGGTGTTCTTCTGGGGTACTAAAGACAATCAAGTAACTGTATCATGATACAAAATCAATGGCATGCAGCTTTTGTTCAGTTACATACTTCCAGTATTTTTTCTATTAATACTGTTTTGACTGGGATAGTTTCAATAACATTTTTCCATGAATTTTTCTTATTTGACTTATAAGAAATGTCTTTTCTAAAGTGACCTTTAGTCTTACATAAGTATCACCTACATGGCTCAAAAGCCTGTGTTAATTATCTACCACTTCTTTGAGTTGCCAAAAAGTTGTAGTTTTTGAAAATTATATAACAATGTAGGCAGTTATATGTAATTATGTATAAACCACATGTTCTGGTTTCAGTTTACAGTGGTTGTCCTGGCATAATTATTATTCTCAAAAGAGTTCTCATTTAGATGATAAATAATAGGTTCACCCAAGTTATATGTAGTGTTAAAAAAATAAAAAACTGAGTAATACACTTTCTCTATCATTTTTCTGATGTAAAAGTGAAAATGACTGGAACATTAACACTGAAACTTATCGAACCCTTAACTCTAGCACTCAAGAGAGCAGACATACAATCAGAGCCTGATTTTTATATCTGTGTTTAGGCAAATTCCCTTGGATAACAACTGATAACAAATTCTATATATCAGCATCAAGTGATATGCTGAATTGCAAGCGAAGATCAAAATAGAAAGTAAGATTCCAATTCATTTTAAAATGTGAACTTCTCTTTGAAGATATGTGTTTGTTGTCGTTGTCCTCCACCATTGAATCATTTTACCTTTTAATATCTTTAGTGTATAGGATAATAAATGGAGTTTGGGAGTAAGTACTGCTCCTCCAAAGAAATTAATCTTTAAACATCCCTCTTTTCAGCTTCTTTTTTAAAAAAGAATAATCTTGCACTGTGCCTGCCTTTTTCTTTGTGTCACTTGTAGTTCTCTGAAATCATTTGCTAATAGCACCCACAAAACAGACTTCAGCAGTTAAGAAGTCAACCAAAATTTTGCTTCATTCAAAGCATTGCGTCTATAAACAGTGTATTACACATTTCCTCTTTTACATCCCCACAACCACTGCCCTAATTCATGCAATGTATGACCTGTTAAGTTTTTCGGTCTCTTCCTTATTTCAGAACCTCCAATGTATCCTCCATATGGCTGCCAAATTAACTATCCTAAAGCACTGCGCTGATGATTTCACTTCCCTGCTTCAAAGCTATCAAGGAGTCCCTATTACCTACTGTTGAAACAGTATCTCTTATCTTCAACTCTTAATAACGTCTGAGTCCCAACCCTATGCAGATGATGCTGGATATATTAGGAAAATGTAGTAATGAATAAGAACTAGCCCTGTCCTCCTGAAGTTTATAATCTATTGAGAGCATAAACAGTCTGATAGCTCCCCTTAGCCACTTTTTTCTAGCCAAAGTAGAACTCTTGCCTTATCCAAATATATGTATTTTTCCAATTGTTCATGCTGTTCTCTAGACACCAAACACCATCCTTTTTCCAAATTCCACTCTTTGAAACCCCACTATCCTTTGAATTTTCTTAAGATATATTCCTTCATGAAGCATTTCTTAATCTTTTCTCCTCTAATATTTCTCTTTTATTTCTTTCACCATGTACTACAGTTGTTTGCTATGCATGCCAAACCTTCCCTATCCCCCCAGAAAGATTCTTGATAGCTACAAAAACAATAAAACATGATCAATCCTTGACAATCCTTATCATTCTTTTCAATATTTTATGTAACATTCTCTAAAGTGTTCTATTTAAAAAGGTAGACCAATCAGGAATAGTGGTTAAGATGACCTACTGAAGGCATATTGTCTGAGATTAAATTCCCTGCGACCACAGGCATGTAACTTTGTTTGAATAACTCTATTTAATTTTACCAAGCCTAAGTTTCCTCACCTGCAAAATAGAGACAGCATACAGACTTTATCTGATTGCTCTGAAATTATACGAAAGAATATATATTTAAAGCACATGAAACACAGGACATGTCACATAGTAAGTGCTTAATAAACATAATTCATAGTGGTAGAATAATGCTTATGTTAATAAACATCACTCATGAAAAGGCTGTATCAAGTCAGAAGTAATATATAAGTCATTCCTAAAAGATCTCCTCTGTAAATGGTATATTATATATAACAGCGGTCCTCTGGGCCATGAATAGTCCTGGCCCATGGCCTGTTAGGAGCTGAGCACAGAGCAGGAGGTGAGCAGCAGGTGAGGGAACATTATCGCCTAAGCTCTGCCTCCTGTCTGATTAGGAGCAGCATTAGATTCTCATAGCAGTGCGAACCTTATTGTGAACTGCATGTGTGAGGGATCTAGGTTTTGTGATCCTTATGAGAATCTAATGCCTGATGATCTGAGATGGAACAGTTTCATCCTAAAACCATTCCCCCCAACCCTGGGCTATGGGAAAATTGTCTTCCACAAAAGCAGTCTCTGGTGCCAAAAAGGTTGAGGACTGCTAATGTATAATATAAACTCAGGTAACATATATCAATATATTTGTGCTCAAGAGTAGAATATGGCCGGGCACGGTGGTTCACGCCTGTAATCCTAGCACTTTGGGAGGCTGAGGTGGGTGGATCACCTGAGGTCAGGAGTTCGAGACCAGCCTGGCCAACATGGAGAAACCCCATCTCTACTAAAAATACAAAAATTAGCCAGGTGTGGTGGTGCACACCTATAATTCCAGTTACTTGGGAGGCTGAGGCAGGAGAATCTGTGGAACCTGGGAGGCAGAGGTTGCAGTGAGCCAAGATCATGCCACTGCACTCCAGCCTGGGTGACAAAGCGAGGTTCTGTCTCAAAAAAAAAAAAAAAAAAGAATAAAATATCTAGAAGGTTTGTAATTGTTTGCTACTAATATTATTACATAATATTTTATTGTATTGGCCAATATGAGTGATCAATTAATATTATCAAGCTGTAATAAATTAGATGTAATCTCTTATCTAAAGATAAACATGAGAATGCTAGTTATATGCAATTTAATATATTAAATTCAAATCAAGCATTTATAATTCTAATGGGCTTTAAAGAAGAGACTCTACAAAGATAGATATCTTTGTCCAGAATTAAATTCCATGAGGACAAAACTTCCCATGATTTTGTTCCACAGAGCACTTTAAATGCCAATTAAAAGTTATAAAAAATATATTGTTTTCCTCTTTCCTGCATGAGAGTGGTAAAATTGTATCAGAACTTTCAAGTCTCACTGGTCAGGAAATGTTTAATGGAATTCTGATTTAGGAAGTTTTGTATACTTAAGGTACATTTAAAAATTACTAGTCAAAATACTCCAATCATCCCTTCCACAAAACATCCCATAGGAGACCTTGGACCCAGTACAGTAAGGTTTTATTTTACAGATGAGGAAACTCAACCCAAAAAAACAAAAACAAAAGTCACACAACTTGTTAGTGGTGCAGCCATGATTATCTGCGGGTTTTCCTGACCCCTTCAGTCAGTGTTCTTTCCAAATTCTTAATAGACTGTGAGTTTGACCTGGTATTACATTCTGATTTTTAATTGGCTTGTTTGTATTCTTACCACTAACTTAGCTGCCACATTTCCATACACGGCTGTGCCTCTCTCCCTTTTCTGCATTCTGTTTATTTCTTTTTTATTTTACATTATGCACTGTTAAATGAAGGGCCTTTTCAACTTCATAGCCCACAAAACCAATCATCTGAGAGCCACTGTTTATTGAAAATCTAGTGAAAAACCAAAACTGACACACCTGTAAACCTCATCCCCTACTGAGAGGCAGAGAACTTAGCATCTCCTATGTCTTTATCATTTAGCGTGTACCTTCTGTCAACCTGCCATAAATATGTCTTGTAAAGTAAGAGTAATTTAACTTCAGGGGCCAGTTCAAACACCCTAACAATATTATATAGCAAATGGAAACAAAAGCTGTTCCTTGGAAGGAAAACAAATGTTGAAAAGCAATATGCACTTTTAGCTGTGGGGCTCCCACTGTTCCCAGCAAATCTTCTGTGGCCAAGATCCTGGACAAAGCTTTGAAAACACTGCTGACCTACAGTCACAGCTGTGTTTTAGTTCTTGCAAACAACGAATAGACAGTCCTCTTAAGTTGGGTGACTGTTCTTGGTTTGTAATTTTTCAGATTATGTATAACTAATCTAAAAATGAAAGATTTTAATTATATTAATTATATTTTTCTTACAGTTTGGTAAATGTTGTTGAAACAAACCAATAGCAACCAAGTTGCTGCACAGAAAAAATCCCATGTCTGCACTCCAGCCTGGGCGACAGAGCTAGACTCTGTCAAAAAAAAAAAAAAAAAAAAAAAAAATCCCATGTCTACAGCTTAAGTTTTTAACAAAATAGCTGCTTTGACTACCAGGGACCTAAGTGACTGTCAGAGCAAGTAGAGATCTGATTGGGCTTCCAGCAATATAAGAATATCCTATAGTATATCAGACAACATTTGAAAACATTGCATTCTTTTTGGCAGCCTAATTGTACAGAAGTACATATTCATTTCAGTTGTCCCTGGAAATAGATTCTAAATGACCAAAACTGGCCTCTCTATCCATGCAGTTGCAATGAATTTAAAAAAAGGAGGAAAATTATTTAAAACCCAATTTGGGCTTCTTTTTTGTTTGTTTGTTTGTTTGCTCTTGTGCTTGGAAAGGTGAGAGAAGGTGGTGAGCAATAGGCACCCGTCGCTTTCTCCCTTGACTAAAAACATCTTTTCTCTCTCTTAGGTCAAAATAATACAGATGACTTCAGTATGTCAGCCCACGAACCTTTCAAAGAACTTTTTTCGCAGTGGCCTCCTGCATTTTATGAAGAGCAAGAAGCAACCGAGTTTAAATACATATACGTATTAACAAAACAAATGCAAAGCCTCTACATACAACACTGACACACACACACGCACACACACACACGCACACACACACACGTGAGCACGCACACACCAATTCCACTTGACCTCCTCTTTCTAACTGAGACAGACAAACATGCAGGACACGCCCATCTTGGATTTCCTGAAAGCAGGCTCCTTTCTCCCAGGCCTTTGGAAAGTTCAAAAGGAGATGTGTTGATGCCCAACGGTTGCTGGCCATTGCTAACTCCTCTGCAGCCCAGCCGGTCGGCCTCTGTGAGCTGGGAAGTCATCCAAGGCACATTAGTTTGAGAGCTCTGTCTTCTGCACTCCACACATCTTGACAGCACCACGGCTACTTAGGCAATGTAATTGCAAAAACAAACAAAACATGTCATGATGACCTTGTACCCGAAGTCCGAAATGGCAGATTGTTTGCCCTAAAGGCTGTACCGTACATACTTGCCTTAACCCACCTATGTTGTGTGCCCAAGAATCTCAGTGCAGACAGCCCCAAGTCACTTCCTTTAGGCTAACACACTGCTATTAATTCTGAATGAGTTCAAGCCTGTGTGTTTCATGTCAAGGAACAAGACTGAATAGCTCAGCAGCTCCAGTGTGTCTGTATAAGAAAAGTGCCAGCTGTCAGCAAAGTGCTTTACCATAGAGCCTCCATGGTGGCCCAAAAGAGACAAGTAACAATAACAATATTTGTCATCTTTGTAATTCTAAAATATGGTCTTCTGATGGGGTTGGGGATGGGACAGAGTAAAACATTAATCTACTAAACTCACTAATCTACTGGAAGCAGAAAGCAGAAATGGCTTAACTCGCTGATTTTATTTATTGCACTCTAGGTGCTTTTATAAGTATCTACAATTGTCTTTTACTAACACAGAAACAGCTGTGGATTTCTATCAACAGAGGCCAACTGAATATGTATTAGCTATGTTTACTCTTTTATATCTAATTCAAATTGAAGACTCTACGTAGGTGAACTTTTTTTTCTAACTTCAGCGTACAAGATTATTTTTGGGTGGGTGGGGGGAGCAATAGTTACCTTGGTGAAATATTTGAGATCTTTTTGTGGTATTTGGGGGATCTGTTGTGTGTTAGAGTGTATTTCAATCCTCCTGTATTATTGTGGCAGAAAAAAACTGTGCTGTTAACGTAGTTGGCAACAAGATGCCTTTGGAAACTTAATAGTAGGTCAATGTGTTTATGGAATATTCTGAACTCCTAGGAAATTTCGTTCTATATTTTAAAGCATTATTTGGTTTTCATTAGTGGAAAACATAATTAGCTCAGGCTTATCAGGAACTCAGATGAGTCGTATCTTTTCTTGGATACACCTGAGACATTAAACTCAATTTTTTGAAACTAACACACCATTCTTTAGTGCAGTGAAATTCAGAAGTTATAAATTGGCATGGAGCAAGTTTTTTCTTTGATTTCTATGAAGTTTCAGTTATTGGATTAAACTACTTTGGACCTTAGCCCATTCAGATCTACATACACCAGTTCCATTACTGTGTTTGCATGGATGTCTGTAATATACACACACAGAAACATTTGAAAATGATAGAGGAACAAAGAGTTATCATTGGAACATAAACTATAAAAAAAGATTCCAGCACTCATGCTTGAATTTCCTCAGTGGGTTGTGTGTTTGTCCATACATACATGTATAAAATAAACAATTGCGAACATGTCAGTGAAACCTCATAAGACGCTTTTATAGTGACGTGCATGTTTAATGTATGAGAAAAATATTTACCAATGTATTGTCCTTTGATTCCTAAAATATAAATACTATACATGCCACAAACTATTCTAATGTGACTTTTAATGTGACTATTAAAATGAGGTTTCACTGTACGTTCATGCTGTGGTGACATTTCACCTTATACTACATGTATATGGCTACAGAAAATAAGCCCTCATATTCCTGCTTTCAGTTACAGCCAAGTTTTCACCAAATCATGACTATCATCACCACCAAAATTTTAAAAAACAGTAGTTGACTACTAAAAAGTAATAGGTGGACAGGTCTTTTATGGGAGTAGTAAGCACAGTAGTGTGATTATATCTGGGAAAACATCTACAGTTGTACAGCTGTATCCTCCTCAAAATCCGGTGAAGAATGCTATTTTTCTAGGCTGAGCTTTTGTTATAAACCTAATATTCAGAAGGCAAGAGTTATGATCCTGATGTGTCCTTTTTTTTGCATTTGTTAATTCTGAATGTATTTTTAACAGAGTGATTTTTTTGACTTACTCGTGTAATTTGCATTTTAAAAATAAATGGAAAAATGCTTAAGTTTCTGAGCCATCCCTGAAAACCCCTGCTGCTTCTCATGGTGTATTTGCTTATGTCATTGACAGAGAAACTCTATTAAATGTACATGAAGGCAACACTGATATTTTGTGCAGTGCAGGGATATGTCAGCAGTGAAAAGAAATTGCCAGGTCATGGCATCATTTCTGCTCAGTCATAGGTAACGTGTACTTTCATTATCTGCTAACACTGAGGGTTCTTTTAGAAGACTGCCTGCAATAGACTTGTCATTTGGAGAACTTTCCCCCACCCCACCTTCTATCTGGGATTTAGAGTTACCATCAAGCTAATAGTTGACAGAGGGTTAGGTCACTATTTTTTAAAATCTTGGTTAAATTATAGGCAGAGTTTTTCTTTTTATTTTTACAGGCCGAATTATTTAAAATAATCTAAAATACTCATTTATTTCCACTTTGATTACAGAATCTTTTGTTATTGTTATTCAAATATTGATATTCACCTCAATAGAAGACAGTATTGGGATAAAGCAGGCAAATAGAAAAGATTAGCCACTGGCATTAGCGATTGTACAAACAATGTTTCAGATGAGGTTGATTATATGCACCCAAAGAATTGAGGGCAGCAGGCCCAGGCTGCTCCAGGTGCAGGCTGTGTCAGGTTCAGAATTATGTCCTTTCTCCCACTGCACACAGACACACACCAGCTCCCATCAGTCAAAATGCTGGAGCTGACTGAAGACACGAAAGGCTTCGAGGCCATATTTTAAGAAGCTGAAGATCAACTTGTAGTCCTTGACGTCTCAGCTGCATGGTGAAAGCCTTGTAAATGATCAAGCTGGCTTTTACTTTTGTCCCCTGTGTAAAAAGTATACTGATATGGTGTTCATTGAAGTCACTGTGAATAACTGTCAGGATGTTTCTTCACACTGTGATGTGAAATGCACACAACAATGTAGTTGCATAAAAAGGACAAAACTGATAGATCAACGATACGTATATATACTGTAAAGAAAGGATTCTTTCTTCTGGAGTTCTCAATTAAATAGATCGTGAGTTTGGTAAAATCCTGTGGAACCAGGATCTGCATCTGTTAACTGTTAAAAAATATAACCTCTGATACATTTCACTCTGCTATACATCTGATACATTTCACTCTACTATAATGAGTAGACCATTTTAATTCAGAAATACAAACTCATTTTAAACAGGTCACATTTTAGAACAAACTTTTGAGATCCAAACCAATTCATAATTCAAACCCATAAAATAAAACCTACTAAGGCAGTTAAGGAACTATTCAATATTAGCTTGTGTCCTGAAAATGCAAATAACTCACCATTGCACAGCAAATTTTAGGATGTATACTCTGGTCAGAATAGAATAAAACAAATCCCGGACTCTATCAACTGACCCTGAGTTTTATAACTTCAAATAAACTTTGATAAGGAAGGCCCTAAAACAGTATTAAATCATAAAATATTTCTGAATTATTATGTATCAGGTTCAGTGTAGTATCAATGTTAAATATATTTTATTATATCATAGTTTTTTAAAACATAATCCAAATTAATATGCAAACATGTAGATATGATGTGTTCTTATACATTAGTAAGACACTTATGTGTTCAATTTCAGGGCTATATGTTTTTCTGTTATTTCATTTATAGTACACTTAGATGTAACTAATACTAGAGAGATTAAGATTACATAAGCAGTCTCGTGTTGACTATTTCCAATACTCTTCAAGAAAATATTTCTTCAGATGTTTCATCTGTCTTTGGTAAAATTTTAGCACTCAACACTTGTACTTAGGAAGCTTTTACATGAATATCCTTACATTGTAAAATTCCAATTATTCTTGTCACATGCAAATCTTTGCTTAGGATCCATTGCCCGATGCTCCTTTCCTTTTATTTATGCCTATCTTCCACCTACTCCAAGAAAGGAAAGAACAAAGTCTGTGATTAATACACAATGTCCATTTTACAATATGCGAGCATCTTGAAACAATTCTGATAGTTGTGAGGGCCAAATGCATAAAACATACATGTATTTTATGACTTTAAATTCAACAAAACTTGAACTAGATAATACATTCAAGGATCACATCTCCCACTGAAATCTGCACAATGTTAGGAGACATGACTACCCACGACAGCAAAAAGGACAAGCTGAGTTCCTCCTAAAAGGGATAAAGGCGGATTTTTATAATGACGGTTATTTTTTAAAAATCCTTAATTATTACGGAGTTTAGAAGCAAACGCGCTTAAAATTTTAAAATAACAAAAGTTAATTTCTGTAAGACAAATTCAGAGAGAAAAAATCCTTTTACAAACCACATGTTGATGCTCTTACTCGTTCTAAATTGTTATTAAAATTAATGTGAGCATTTTCTATAATGAAAGTACCTTCATAATGTGACACCTTAATAATAAAACAGGTATATTTTAACTGCTTATTCTATGAATTTAAACTGTATTGGAAAGGAATAAAACAACTCCCAAAAAAGATTGCAAATTTGGTGCTGTCACCCCAAGGATGATGGATTGATTCAATTAACCAGTAAGTCTTTTCTAAGAGTCCTTCAGGGAGTTATTTACCAGAGGCATACCTTGTTTATTCCCTTCCATGAGCCTATCATTTTTCTTCATTATTCTTCTAGTTTTACTTATCATATCATTTGGGGATATGCTGATCTTCATGTACAGAAGGTTTTGCACACAGCTGTCCAGACATACATCTTCCAGACTTCAAACTGGATGCCACCAGAACACCTGAGCCTCTTGTCGTTGTTTACTCAGGCTGACCAAGATACGCTCAGGATGAAGTCAAATAGCTAGACTTACAAACTGGAAATCAATGGGAAAGTATCAAATTGAAGGAAAGCTATGAAAAATTATTCTTAAAAGTAGTAACCTTGTGTTCCACACATCATGGAACTGGCTTCACCATAGATGACCTCCTTATCTCCAAAAGCAGGAAGGTAGGAGGAACAGATGGCCGAGAGGCCAGGACCCATGCTAATAATTCATGGTAAAACAAAAACACATTCGGTGTTTGTGTTGTTCTGGATACTGAAAGAGAAATAAATAATCTGAAACAGGAAAGATTTTTGTTTCTAATTGACCAAATCACCTGTCAGTTTAAGTTGCAAAGAGTAAGGATTCCAGCCGGGCGTGGTGGCTCAAGCCCGTAATCCCAGCACTTTGGGAGGCCGAGGCGGGCGGATCACGAGGTGAGGAGATCCAGACCATCCTGGCTAACATGGTGAAACCCCGTCTCTACTAAAAACACAAAAAATTAACCGGGCGTGGTGGCGGGCACCTGTAGTTCCAGCTACATGGGAGGCTGTGGCAGGAGAATGGCGTGAACCCAGGAGGCGGAGCTTGCAGTGAGCCAGGATCGCGCCACTGCACCCCAGGCTGGGCGACAGAGTGAGACTCCATCTCAAAAATAAAATAAAATAAAATAAAAGTAAGGATTCCATCTTGTTATCAAAAAGATGAAAGATAGGTGTTGGCAAGTATGCAGAGGAAAGGGAACCCTTGTGCACTGTTGGTGGAAATGTAAATTACTGCAGCTATTATGAAAAATGGTATGGAGTTCCTCCAAAAATCAAAAATAGGACTACTATACGATCCAGCAATCCCATTACTGGGTATATATCCAGAGGAAATGAAATCATCCTGTCAAAGAGATCTCTACACTCCCATGCTCATTGCAACATTATTCACAATAGCCAAGATACAGAATCAACCAAAGTATCCATCAACGGATAAGTGGATCAAGAAAATGTGGTATGTATGTGTATATATATATATAAAATATATGCCTGCAATGGAATACTATTCAAGCCTTGCAAAAGAAGGAAATCCTGTCATTTAAAGCAATGTGGATGAGCCTAAAGGACATTATGTTAAATGAAATAAACCAGACACAAAAAGACATAGACTGTATAATCTCACTTATGTGTGGAACCTAAAAAGGCTGAATTCATAGAAGCAGTGAGTAGAATGGTGGTTACCAGAGGCTCAGGGTGGGGAGGATTAGAAGTAATGGTCAAAGGATACAAAATTTCAGTTAGACAGCAGGAATAAGTTCAAGAGATCCTTGTACAACTTGGTAACTGTACTTATTAATAGCAATGCATTGAATACTTGAAGTTGTCTAAGAGAATGGATTTTAAGTGTTCTGACCACAAAAAAAAAAAAGAGAAACGTGAGGTAATAGATATGCTAATTAGCTAGAATTAGCCATTCAACAATATATACTTATATCAAAACATTATGTTGTACACCATAAATACATGCCATTTTTATTTTTCATCTACAGAATAGTAAGGATTCGAGGAGAACTCTTCTGGAGATGAACTTCTTTACTAAATCTTGCTGTCCAGCACTAGCTACGTAGTTTGCTGGGCCCAGTGAACAATGAAAACGGGCCTTTCATTCAAAGGGTAGGAAGAACATGCTGCCAAAGGTACTAAAGTATAAAACATTTTCCTTTAACAATATTTTATTACTTATAAAGTATAACAAGGGTAGTAATAATATATGAGTAACACTATATAATTATAAAATATAAAAAGAATGAGTGTCATAATTGCATATAATACAATAAACATACTTTATTAATGGGACTTCTCAATGATTATAAGATTTTCCTGACTCACATTTCTGCAACTTTATTGATTAAATCATAAAAATGTAAACTTTTAGCCAGCTCATTTTCAATCAATACAATTGAAAAAGATGTCAGCCATTCTTGCAAATGCATTGCAATTTCTTGTGTTTTTTAATTTTAAGAAGAATCTTTTTGCTGACCCAACTGTTGCTGGAGCTATTATGAACATTTTACAGACTGTGAAAATATTGGGATACATTTCTCATACATTACTTTGAAAAAAATTAGGTAAATAATTTTGAAAGATAAATTTGGCTGGGCACGAGGCAACCGGATCGCTTGAGTCCACGAGTTTGAGACTAGCCTGGCCAACATGGTGAAACCCCGTCTCTACTAAAA